ATACAAAACAGTTGTTCACTAAAATATGTTTCTATAAGCAGGAAAGGGCACACTCACTTCCTGAGCAGCACAAAGCAATAGCTAATATCCTGAAGGTTTGGGTAGTTTCAAGTGTTTCACATCTTGAAAGTTCAACAGCTCAGCTTCAGTAATGGGGAAAAGCCCTGGAGCAAAACCAGGACAGCGGCTTGCTCTGCAGAGTGCACTCTTGGATGGCATTTATCTTGAGGCTATCAATATTTACTAAAGACGGTTATAACATCACCTTGCTCTTGCTGCATTAGTCATGAAGTTTGCAGACCACAAAAACATGAGAGCAAACGGACTTGTACTTAGTGCACCCTCCCAAGCCTGCTGTAAAACCCCAGAGATCCTCCTTCTCACACAAGGACGTGTCGTACAGTCATAGGGTTAGAAGACAATTTAGGTTGGAAGAGACTCTCACAAGTCCCTACTCTGACATCCTGCCCAAAGCAGGGTCAGCTCTGAGGTTATATGTGGTTGCTCAGGGCTTTACCTAATCTGTTCTCAAAAACCTCCATGGACAGAGATGGCACAACTTCACTGGGCAAGCTGCTCAATTACTTGACTGCTCCATTCACTTCACAGTGTAAGTTTTTCCTTATATCCAGTTCAAACCTCTTGTTTCAACTCATTTCAGCTGTTGTGTTTCATTGTCCCTACATGCCCTGCTGTGAAGAGCTTGGCTCTAACTTCTTGATGACCTCCTTATAGGCACTGACAGGCTGCTGACAGATTCCTTCTCCAGGCTGAACCAGCTCAGCTTGACCATGCCGTTACAGCCATTGCATGGGGTAGCTGTGGCTCACAGCCCGGGATCCAGCCATATGGTGGCACTTGTGACATGAGTGTCTTTGGCTTTTGTAACAGGGGTAACGATTCATGCATGAATTCATCACAAGAAAGCATCCACATGCCCAGAGTGAACCAGACATGGAGATTTGCAGCATTACTCCTGTACAGCACAACCTGCCAACACCATTTCCTTATTTAAGGAAAGTAAATAAAAGAAGACCAGGAAGGAAATTTCGGGTATGATTCCAACTTTTACAGGTTTCAATTTTATTTTTTTCTGCTTTAAGTGTAAGTTTGAGATGAGCTTAAAGGAAACCCCTAAAGGCAAATCCTGTTGAATGCCACAGGGATTGAATTCCACCCCATTTCTCTGCCCTCTGTTCTTATGATAAGCTGACCAACATGTCCAGATTTTTTGCACCCTAAATGTAGGGGTCCAGGCACTCAAATCTACCTCCACATTTTTCTTCTTTCCCAGATAGCCTTTTTCTTCATGTCATGCTTTTACCATTTACAACCTAAACTAAACTAGGTGTTCTCTAACTTCATTTTATTTCAGTGTTAATCACATCAGTATCTGCACCCAGGTCCCTGTAGGAGATAGCCTGGAGGGACCACAGAGCTGCTGCCAGCCAACTGAGCTGCAGGACTCATGTTTAGAAATAACAGATCTCTCCACCTGTCTGCTTTAGGAACCACTGTGGAGGCTTCAGGGAAAGTAAGTGTCATCTGAAATGCAATCACAGAGCACAACTGCAGCAGACTTAGTACACTGATTGAAACCAAAGCTGAATGCTCTATAGCAACCACTCTGAGTACATTAAGTAGAGACTAGCTCCCATAAAAGCAGCTGGCTGTCCAGTCCTTTTAAAATCAAGCCACTTATTTAGGCACCTAGTTATAGAATTGGGAGGTTTTTTCCAAGTAGTGTTGGCATGGATGTGCATGTCTCAGTGATAATTTTATTTTATTTCAATTTTCATTGCAAATCATTTATGCTCATTCTGAAATGAAATGGCCATTAGGCAGAGCAGGAGACTAAGGAAATTACCCAGAACATGATAAAGAGCAACAGTAGCAGTTAGTATCCACTGCACCAGCAGCAGTACATCCAGACTCAGGTTATTTATGAAGAGGTGGTGCTGTCTGAAGCTGATGCCCAGCTGCCAACACACACATTTTGTCATAATAACCCTGATATTTACAGTTTTTCTTAAATCCGCACCTCCTGTATTCACAGGGATCGAGAGATTTTTAGATTCTAAAATGTCCCAATTTCCAAGTCAGTCTTAAGAGTTAAGGGGCTAATACATGCATTTTGGACAACAGAGCATGAGTTTGAATGAGGAAACGTGTTTTTCAAAATACGCCTGGTATCCCTTTAAGACAACAATTAGGGCCTGATTTTAAAACCACCTCCAGGCAACCTTCAAGTTTTGCAGGCATAATTACGTGCAAATGCAAAGTTAGAGGCTGTTTATGAACAGGAGGGCTTTAATGTTTCATTTTCCAACTGCACGTCCTGTAGTTTTCTGTATCCTGCTAGTGCAGATTTTTTTCTCAGCATTAATGGAGACTGCCCTTTGCGAGGCACTTACTCCCAAGAAGTGCACTCTTCTACAAAGTGGAATATGTCCAGGAACGAAAAGCTTGTAAACAACTATTTACTCCACTTCCACTGCAGATCTAGGAGGTTCTGCTCAAAATAGAAACTAAACCATGTCTCAGACACACTCTGCTGCAACCAACATGGTTAGCAGCTAAACACAGAGGCCCAGGGTTTCTATCAGCCTCAGTCCTGGTCAGCCCACCACAATGGGAAGGCAGCTCTTGCTGAGAGCTTTCCCACTCAGCAACCCAGTTTTGGGCCACTCAGAGTTTGAGATTAAAGGCATAAATCAGAATTAGATCCTACTAGATTAAGATCTAATTAGGATTACTGAATTAGACCCAAGGTAGGATACCCAAGGTGAGATACCTGGGTGCAGTGCTGCAAAGTCAGATCGTCTTCCGTCTTATCCATAGCCTCATACAAAACCTCCAGGCCCATGGATGCTGCAGCTAACATGACTTTGAAACAACACAATTAGAGTCACTGCAGCAGTGGCTAGGACAAGCTCGGGGTGGGATGGAAAGACCCCATTGCATAAACTCTTACCAAGTCCGCAGGAGCTTCTCTGCAGCACGTAAAGCTCTAACAAAGAACCTGGCTCAACTGAGTAGCACAAAGCCTCCCTAGAGATGAGCTATCATTGCAGAAACTTGACCATGTGAATAAGAAATCTAAGTGTACTCAGTGTTCACCCTCCATCTGCTCGTGCTGCCCAGGATGTATCACTGCCTGCAGACATGTCCATCCTCTTCCCCACAGTTAGTGGCCAGGACACAGCTGGGGTACCCACAGTTCTCCGCACTGCTCGCTCCAGCACTCAATCAAAGCTGTGAATGTCAGCAGGACTCTTGCCAGCTTTGAGGGTGCACACAATTTCACTTGTGGAAAACAAGTTAGAGGACGTGTAACACTGCATTCATTCAATTCAGCATACCCTTCATTTGGTATATTGGAGAATGGGGACAGACAGATCTATGGGAAAAGGGTCCAATCCTGACCCTGCCTGAAAGGGAAAAGCATCAACTCTGTTTTCTGAAGGTTGTGGCATCCTGAGCTTCCCAGTGAGACCAGGTGCCATACTGAAGAGATTTCTATTGCTTAACTGGGGATAGACAAATTCACAGCCTGAGCCAGTGTATCAGTGAAATTAATTTTTTGCTATAATATAAAGGTTAAACTGGAATAAAGTTGCCAAGACACCAATTCAATGATAAAGATATATAAAGGCCATCTTTTTGCTAGAGTAATTTGGCAAAACTCCACAGACTTCACAATTTATACCAGCAAAACATACAGTCCATGGCAAAAGAGCAATGTGGTCCTACAGTACAAAGCCAGTGTTGATGGATAACTATTTGCCCTGGCTACTTGCCAGGTGCAAATTAACCATGTGAGCTACTAGGATGGATGGCTAGGGGCAAAAATATAACTGCCATCATCTCAATATTAGGACTGGTCTAAGTACTTCATTACCAAACCATTACTCTTGGAGATGGCCTCACACAGTGAGAACATGTTGATTTTATTTAATTGTAACAAAGTTCTATTGGCTGACCCCAGGCATATTACTATAATTGATTTTTTAATACCAGTATAAGTCTATAACCACTTTATTCTATTGCTTCTCTATTCCTTGGAGGTTCAGAACCAATGCCCTGTTGTCAGCTGGTACTAGGGGTGCTCTGATCTGGGGCATCATTCCTCCATGCTCAGGAATGCACTGGTTAATAACCTGAACTCACATAGAGGGAGTTCAGTGTTTTTCTCCTGGCATGTGCAAGCTGCACACCTGCACTAATGTGGTCAACATGAGAACAAGCAGGGACTTGCATGTGTTTGCAACACGTACCTTATTGCAGCAGGAGCAATGGAACAAGAGAGCAATGCATGCCCAGGGCAGAAAAGCACAGGAAAAAGCAGCCTGTTCCCTGCTTTCCTCTCTGGCCCCTGAGTACCTCCATCCCTGGAGTGAGAGGAACAGACTAGGACTACAGGGAGGTTTGGTTTGCTCATGCTAGAGGCTGGGGGGTTTGGCACCCCAAGAAGCACATATGCTTAGAGGAGAGGGCCCACATGCATTTCTGATGGGTTTGTCAAGGCTGCAGTGAGCTGTGCAGCTGATCCTCAGCATCTGGTAAAAGCCCCCTGATTTGTGATTTAACATCAGCTGTTTGCATGATTTGGCTGCAGCTGAGACATTTCTGGCCTTGTTGCTTGCAGGGGTGTGGTACACCTTTCGGGGAGAAGGAGCAAGAAATGCTGCTGCGCAGGTTTCCTCATCTCTGTTGCTTTATGACTTGAGTGTCCTCTGTAATCAGACTGAGCTAAAAGGAATTAATAGTTTTAGAGCCCTGCGCTACCAAAATGACCCTGCCATCCTGAGGCAAGCAGCTCAGGCAAGCTGCAGCCAACTCAGCCCGTCACTGTGGTGGATTCCTGTTTTTTTTTGGGGGATCTGCAGCTCCCTGACATTCTTGGCCAGGATTGGGCTGATCCATCCCCATGCTCAACCCTAGTCTCCCTTGACTTTCTCTTGGCTTAAATCAGAGCACTGTTGCTCCCAGCCTCTCACCTTGCCATCAGTGGTGACTGCAGCAAAAACCGTGGAGGAGTAAGGGGCCCAGGCAACATCCCCAACAGCAGAATTCAGGTCATAAACAAACATCGGAGTCCTGTAAAAAAAGACCCAGGCAGAGAACTTATTTAGACAGATGCCACTCTGGAGGTGAACCAATGAGCTATAAACATTTTGATGCTGCAGCCTGTGTTGTTCAAGGCCAGCTACAGAAGTGGGAGATGGGGTATTTCACTATGTCAGATACCAGCCAGGGTCTGAGCCAAAGGCAAAGCAAAGCTGAGCATCAACCCAAATGGGTTGGGATGGGTCCTGCTGTGATAAGAAGAAAGGTAGCATGGGTTTTTTTCTTTCTGTAAGCATTTTTAAAGCTTCTCCCCAACACACACAGCAAGATGGAGTCTCTCTGGTTAATAATCATACAGGAAAAAGTTATTTTCCCTCTCTGGACTTCTGACAACATTGAATATTAGAGCAGTATTGTCAACAGGAAATATTTGACTCTGACTGATTTACAATAAAATCAATTTCCTGATGGAAACCAGACATTCCTCAACCACTAACCCTGAACTTCATTATGTGTTTTCAAATGTTCCAATTTTTTTTTTTAATTTTTTTTTTGGTCTCTCTGGCTCTTAGGAGGTGTCTGGCCACTGTGGCCATAAGCCAGTCCCTGACATTTTGCTTTCTCTAAAGCATTGCTCCAGGAGAATAACCTTGCCACAGTGGGTCCTGCCGGAAAGAAGCCAGGTCCAAAGGTCTGTGCTGAGCTGCACTACTTGGCAAGTTACTGGGGCAGCTGATGCTAAATCTTATACCTCATACCTGGGGAGCACAAATCTGAGTCATCAGCCCCAGAAACAGAGATAAGAGAGCAAAATCAACACCCAAGAGGGACACTGAGACTGAGGTATGAGCAGAGTTGACAAGTGCAGCTGGCATGTTAGGCTGGACCTCCCTGCCCACACCAGGACCCAGCAGGACCTACTTGATGGTGTGATCCCAGATCTTGACTGTCCAGTCAGAGCTGCAGGAAATGAAGACTTTTGGGTGGTAGGGATTCCAGCTGACTGAGTCCACAGCCATGTGATGGGCTTCAAACACATCCAGAAACTGGCTTGAATAGCATTTTGAACACTGCAATGGAAAGAACTAGTCAGTCATCTGAGCTAGACCTTCTTCTGGAGCTCATATTCCTGCAGAAACATGCCTCTGAATACTTGTATGGCCTCCTAGGCTCTTCTGGGCTGGCTGGGAAGAGGTGGCTGGTACTCAGAGGTGCTACAGAAACTAAGTAATTTCATACATGCTGTTTCACCCCACTTGCAGGCAACACCAAGGTCCCCTCTGCAATACACAGAGGTAAGAATTGAAGTTGTCCAGTTGGATTTACAGCCAGAACCAGGTCCCAGAGCCCAATTCTCCACAGCCCAAAGCTCCATTGACTTCCTGCCAGCCTGGGCTCCTGCCATGCCTCTGTAAAAGGCTCTTGGGAAATCCAGGGTAAAACAGCTCTTTTGTTGCTCAAGAGCACATATCACAGTGTGCTTTTGAAGTGCCATAATTAAAACCTCCAGTAATGGTGCTGTCAGCACAAGAATGACCTATCAGACACTTTGACTCTAAGGATTTTGGGAACATGCCAAAAGTCTCTTCCCTGCCATCATCCTGTGACAGCCTGTTCTGAGAGCCTGCCCCATCATCACACAGCTCTGCAGCTCTTTCTCTTGTGCCATGCATAACTTCATGGAGGCATGTGAGACCCACAAGAGGTTGGCCAGCATTCAGACATGTCCCCAGTGGGCAGGTGGGCCACCCTGTACCCCAACCAACAGCAGCCTGTGAACTGGGCAAACCCTGCACATGCATGAAAGGATCAGGCCAGCAGCGTCACAGCTGGAGGTGCTACTGAATGAGAAAATGTAGGATGTGTGCAAGAGCTGGAAAACATTCAGGAGACTTGGAAAAGTCACTTTGTGTGTGAGATCATGAAGGGGGGGAGAAATTACAATTTGCTTGCCTGCATAAGCAGAATACAGGACTTAGTCCAAGTCCTGTCAGTTCTGTGTACAGAGAAAAACCTGGTTATCCTCCCCAAAACTCCTCCCCTTCAAGGCGACTGGACGTTACCTTCCTTAGCAACAAGGACCTCAGCTCACAAGTAATGTTCCCTTGGTTGTGTTCTCACACACAAGCCATATCCACAGAGCAGGCTGGGGTTGGTTTCGGGATATTCTGTCAGTTCTGCCTTGGTACTGTCACTACAAGGACTTTTCAGCACCTTTCATTACTCCCTAATGAATGCAGCAACACATCATCTGCCCGAGTAGCAGAATTGCTGAAGTGCTACATGACTTTATTACTTGCAAACTAAAATTCTAACTAATCATAAGGCTTAACTGTTTATTATACATGACACTCACATGACCTGTTTTCTTCTGATGCCCTTGTACACTGTTGTAGGTACTGTATTGAGAATGCTAAACTATTCACACAGCAGCAACTCCTTCACCCGTGGGAGGCTTGCTGTGGTAGGAAACAGAAACAAGGAAGTGGCTCATGTCCCACTGAGATTCACTGAGTATCTATAGCTTGCCAGTAGTTGGGTGCATACTCTGTCTCTGAGTTACTGTCCCTGTGTGTGATTATGGGACTGAACTCTCCTTTAATGGCATGTTTCGTAACTCTACTTCATAATTCTTAACGTTCAGCCACTAGGAAAATTGGTACTTGGCTTGTTTTGAAAGTCACTCTGCTGGGAACAGACAGAATGGGTCATGAGTAATTAACAAAAGATAGAAACTGCTTTATCCATCTGTCCTTCAAGTATGTGGATTGAGGCCTCTAATACCTGAGGACTTTGAAGAGTGAGATCCTAACCAGATTTGTCTGCATCCAACAGAGCTGTAATGATCAGCACGGTTTTTAAAGCCTGGCTGGGGCTGAGCCCTTGATCAGTGCAGCTCCCCAGGCATTGGTACGGGAGGCCCATCATGCTCTGGGATGTGCTGCTCCACAGCACTGGCTTTGCAGTCTGCAAGTCTGGCCCAGAGCTGAGGCTCATGCCCCGACAGGAAAAGGATCTGTGGTTTTCCTACAAAATCAGCAGCAAAAAGAGTTCTGTAGGGCAGATGCCCAGCTGTGTCCCTTGTGAAAAATGAAACCTGCGTGCCCACTTTAGCCTGAAACCATGCACCATACTCTGGCAGTGCCTGCCAGCCCCACACTGTCTCCACCCCAACCTTTGGTGTCGTCTCTGGTGTGTGAGATAGGGTCATGTTCTTCCCAAGATGCATTTTGAAGAAACACCACAAACTTGACAAAAAGCTCAGAAAGAAGTATGACTTCAACGAATAAAAGAGTTTCTGAGATAAATAGAACTGCTGGCAAAGTCTTCCCCTACTATTCACTTTTAAAACCTTACAGTTATTAGACACATGTCAGGATGAAAACAAAACCACTGGAAAATGTGATGCCTAACTCCTGACAAGACAGCTTTGAAGATGATGAGTAGATTCAGGGAGCAGGCATTTGTGCAGCCTGTCTGAACTTCTAGAGGACTGCTCCAATTTGCTGAGAGTGTTTTTCTCCTATTTAAATGGTGGTAGATGTGTGTGAAAAGTAAACAGTATTTTTACGATGAGACAGGAAAGCAAGAATGTGTCTATGGCAATACAGGAAACCAATATGAAGATGACTGGTGACAGGGCTACAAAGCATAGGGGAGGAATACTGGGAGGAAAGGAGAACTCCAAGGACACTAAACTTATGAATAATCTTCATTAATAGCACTTCAGTTTACACTAGATGTTAGTCTGACATAAAACTCCCCCACATCCATGGTGAACGGACGGTTAATAGTGTCCTTGTAATATAGAAGGTTTTTCTAGTTCACTAACAGAAACATTGAGATGCTAGGCAATATAGAAACACAAAAAATAATGTTTTTCAAGGAGGTTTGTATCTGTCAACAGAAAGAGTACTTCCCAACACTGGCACTCCCAGGCAGATCAGAACACCCAGCTGCTCTTCAGAAACCACTGACACAAATGTGTCCTGTGTTGTTGTGGCCAGCTGTTACCAGCAACACCAGAGGGTCTCCTTGGTTTTTTGCTGAGTGCCTTGTAGAAATCTGTAACAGAAATGCTAAGATTTGTAGAAAGGATTACAAATGGAAACAGAGGCATGTGAATGCATCAGGAGAAACAGCAGGAAATTGTATTAATTGATGGCAAATACAGTCAGTGACAAGGGACAAGATAACTGGACAGAACAAGTAGAAGCCCCAAAGATAAAGTGGTGAGAAGGTGAGGAACAGAACTCAAGCCATAAAATATCCAGACAAGGAAAACAACTTTGTCTAAAACAAAGCAAGACTAGATGCTGAGTCAAGTGATCTCTCCGTCACTAAAGGGTCACTGGAAGTCAGAGCCTGCCCAGAAACCAGTTTGTCATCATCATGTAAGGAAAACCCAAGAGCTGTGATAAGGACTCAACAGCTAGCATCCTTTGTCATCTGTATAACCACAAGAAATCCTGTCCTGACCACACAGATACAAATGTCTTAGTGGTTAGTAGGAGAGAATGACTGAGTGAAATTAGTTTTGTTTAGAATTAGAATCACTTTTTCCTTCTATACAGTCTTGCACCGAATTTTATTTTCATTTATTACACTCTCAAGCAAACTGCCTCAGACTGAAAAAACCCTCTCTCATATGAATGTGTTTAAATCTCATCACAATTTTTCTTCTGAAGTCCTGTTTATTAAGAAGTAATTCTGACTAAAGAGTTGAAGTCACAATAATGTTTCAATATGAATCTCAGAGACCATAATTTTTTATACCAAAGCTGAACAATTCCTAAACAGCAAATAAGATATGCAAAGAGGCACTTTTGTGTTACAGAATCACATTAATGCAGAAACAGTTTGTCCTCTACGTAAAAGGGCGATAGGTCTGTGTGTAATCAAGATAATGATTTCTTGGTTCAGAAATACTATTAATAAAGCCATTTTAAAAAAATCACCATATTTGTTCTGCAGCTAAATAATTAACATATTATCATACTATTTGTGGGCATGCCTGGTCTCTGAAAAAATGCATCCCTGAAATTCACTTTTCCGTTTATTTAATAAATAATCTAAAATTCCGCCCATGTGAAGAGCAGCCCATGTAAGGAGTCTGCCCTCTCACTCATGTAAGGAGTCTGCCCTCTCACTCGTCATGCAGTAGCAAGGGCAAATGCAGCATAGAGAGCTGCTCGAACGGCTGTGAGACTGTCACTGTCCTCAGCATCTGAGCGGAGCAAGGCTCTGGGATGCAGCCCACAGGTAGCTCCAGTAATGGGTTCAGATGTGCAGTGTTTCAGTAAAGGGTGGCAGTCCTTGAGAAATGTCTGGAGCAGCAGTTGATCCCCAAACTTTTGAAACTGCTTGTAGCAAACTCTTGGGGGATGTTGAGGGTGCAAGCACTCTTCCACTTGTTTTTTGTGGGTACTATGGAGGCCTGCTTGTGTAGACACAAGAGTTCTCTTACCTGTGTTAGCACACCTACAGCTTTGTCAATGCAAGTGCTGCCAAATTCTGTTCGTATTCAGTCCTCCTCTGTGAACAATTTCCTTTGCTATGTAACTCAGCCAGGACGCCAGCCTGAACATTTCTCCTGAAGGGTAACGGATGGCCCCCACCTAACATGACATCCACTGTCATACTCTCTGACGTCTGTCACTCACCTAAGCACACAGGAAGTTAAAACATGTGGCTCTTCACTGCCTTTTGACTGGGACTAGACACAACAGTATCCAAACAATCTGGAGTATAATACCCACTGTACCAAGTCCTGCGGGTGACCAGCCAACTCAGAACATCTGCCCATGACTGAACAGATGCTTTGTACCCTGAAAGCATCAACACAAAGCCACTGCACCTACTTCACTGCCCATTGCCCATCAGCCCAGCTCTGCCACTTCTCCCACCTCCCTTCTGCACCCGTCTTGTGCAATGCAAGTGAGCAATACTCAGAAATCTTCCCTAGATACTGCCTGGCAGAGGGAGAGATTGCAAGCAGCAGCATCCCTCTGGAAGAGATATGTATTTGTTAAGTCTGTCTTGCCTAAATGGTTGATATTGATTTCAGAACATTATTTCCTTTGGGCTCTTTTTCTCTGTTTTGATTCCCTTTTGCAGAACAGGCCATGGGGAAGGAGCTTACAGCATCTTCTAAGGATGGCTGGATGGATCTGTTCTGCACATCAGCTGCCTGCTGATGGTCCAACTCCCAAACTGAAGGGCTGTGGCTACAATATTAACAAAGCCTCAAAGCCATCTCAGAGGAATGCTCTGCAAACAAAAGTTATATGAGTGAGGAGCTACGGGCTTTGTTTTCAAGGTTAAATAAATAAGCAGAGTTCAAAACTTCCTATTTTTAGCTTGATTCCTTAAGAAAACACAACACCTGTATCCTGTTGTCTGCTTGCCTCTCCTTTCATAAGACTTTTGACTTCATTGACAATTCCAGCCAAAGCTGGCTGCCTGTGGCACTTGGCAATATTAAGGTCTTACACATTCTATAAAAAAGGATAATTGTAGAGCTCAAACATCTGGGCAGCCCCTCCCACCCCAGAAAGGGCAAGGAAATCTTGGCAGCTGCCCTCAACAATGGCTGGAGCTGGATGGCCAACAGCCACCAGCTTGGAGCTGGGCACCAAAGCATCAGGCTTCAGGAGGGCACTGGAAGGGAGGGAGCCAGCACTGTCTGCAGGAATCAAGGGGTTTAGTATGGAGGTGGGATCACTGAGCTGGGGACAGCATGGGGGTGATCAGAGAGCAGACAGTGAAGAACTGGAGATAGGAGGGCAAGGAGAAAGTGGAAATGGGGAAAGGATCTGGGATGTAATTGTGGAAGGGAAAAGCTGCGGGACAGCAATCCACAGGAAATAAGACTTCATTAGCCTCACTATTCATGGCATAACAGGTCAAAAAGGGACAAGAGATGAGATTTTTCCTGCCATTTCCCCATAGTCATGAGGATAGAGGATCAATGCCTTTTAACTTCTGCTCTGATCATGCTTAGTACCTCACTTGCACAGCTGCAATTTGCAAAGCATTCTGGGATGCAGTTTGCATGAAAAACGTTTCTGCAAAATAAGGTCTTAATTGGGTCTGTGCAGAGAGCTTTCTGTGACCCTCTGTGTCTCGGTGCTGGTCTCAGGCTCACCACGGGGATCTGAGGGCAGGACCAGGCTCTGAAGTTGTACTTTGTTACTGCCTCAGCAAACAGTTCAGACATGAACCTGAAAGCCAAGCACGTGTCAGGGGATGTAAAACAAGGTACAAAGAAACCATTCTTACCTTGTAGATCTTTCCCTCTTCAGTACCAACGAGAAACAAATAGTCTATTTTTTTGTGAAAGTCAAATGATGTCCCACAGCCTGTTAACAGAAGAAAGGTCTGTCAGGCAGCGAATTGGTTCATCTGGCCAGTACACACTTCCTGCCTACCATACACACAAACTGCCAGCATTTTCAAAAGTGTTTTATTAGCCAGAAGCTCCCAAAAGAGATTAGAGACACCCCTTCTGCAAACACTTCCCAAACTGTGCCTCTCCCCAAGATCTGCAATTTGAAAAGCCAACATAGAGAAAGGGAAAAGGGAACTGGAAGAAGCGTAAGGGAACTGGAAGAACAGATTGGCCTTTTGGTGCTCATGTAAGGATTGTGAGGCCTGCCTCCTATTGGGAAAGAACAGATCTTTTCTGTTTGTTTAATATTCACAAAAATATAAATGTTTTCCCATGCATAAAAAAGCCCAGAGAGGAAACATCACATCATACATCCCTGTGCCCTTTTCATCCTTAGCTCAGAAGCCATTTAGCAGGGTCATTTCAGTAAAGCCAACAGCAAAGGATGTGATTTGGGAAGAAATCTTCTGCCAGGCACAGAATGATTTTCTTAACTTCAAAAGCCCTGAATTGAGTAACATTGTGAATTACGTTTAAAACAGGTGTCAACCTCAACAGGATGGGACTCCTTGAGATTTTGTGGCTTCTGCTCCTGAGACCAATTTGCATGGTGGTGAAAGAAAATTTCAGCAGTGTCCTTGAGCAGAAGCTGGGATGTCTCCTGAGTGCCACAGCAACTTGGGGCTGTTGACCAGCAGGGACACCCACCACAATCATGAGATGAGAAACAGGAACAAGCAGACAAGGCTTGGAAACATAGTTACAGAGAATATTCTGCAAAAGCAGCTATCTTAAACATTATGTCTTAGATGTTAACAAAATGTAGTCCTCAAAGGAATTGTTAAGGTCATTTCAACCCTTTAATGCTGTCTGCATTTTTAACATTTAAATAGATTGTTAAATATTCAAGACAAGTCTTTGAAAATCCATTTCCCAGTAACACTATCAAATAATCCCATAGCCCCTGGGACTTCTGCAGTATACTGCTGTAGCTGGTCTCTTGCAACCTATGTGGCAATGCAAACCTTCTCACTAACAAATTGTTCAGCAGTTACTAGCCTAGAAACACAGCAATCCTTAAATGCAGAGAAAGTGCCTTCTCCAAACTCAGGCCATAGCTTCACAGCCAAAAACAGGTGCAGTAGGATGATTAGTGGATTCCTCAAGGCTCCCTGTGTAGTCCAGGACCTCAAGAACTGACTCATCCCATCCTACTTCAAACACAGGACAGTCAGGATGAGAGGATTCAGCCTAGAAGAACTGCACTGTCTCTACCTTGTACAGAGGGACCCTAACATAGTAGCTCAGAATAGATGTTGTGCTTTCAGAGAGCCAAAACCCAGTGAGGCACATGGTACCACTATCTGGATAAGCTGTGCACCCAGGAAAGGGCCAAGGTTGCTTTTTGTCTTGATTTGGACAGAGCAGATCAATGTCTGGTGGGAAGAACAAAACTGTCTCAGTTTTCACAAATACAGGTAATGTCCGTGCCTTTTCTGCATTGGGATATCCCAGTAAAACAGACATCTTTTAAAAATTAATAGTCACCTTTTTATGCAATTAAAGACAAGATGTAACCAGCAAAACTTGACTCAATTTGTGGCCATTGCTCCAGACAGACTTTCTCCTATTACATGATGAAAGCAAGGAGTTGTAACCCTTCTTTAGCTCCTTTACATCTCAACACCCCACTCCCAATTTAATTCCCTAGAATGACTGATTAGAGGCTTTGTGTCAGTAATTAATCAGCATGACAAGGACTTGGGCTCCTACCAAGTGTTTGCAGCTGCAGCCCCTCTGGCCCCTGCATCGTTGTTCCCTCTACTGACAGCTTGATGACATCTGTATGAACCAGCTCATTCTGCAGGCAAAGGAGATTCCACATAAATAACAGGCTTTACAGCAACAATACAGAGACATTCAGTACTTTGGAATGGCAAATTTTATGGAGGAATTTTAAAAAGCTATCCAAAAGTTGCTTTATTTTTCATGCTCGCAGTTGGAAACTTGTTAACATGCTGTTTTACATAAGACCTTCAGGAAACCGATGCTTTGGTGCACTGTAACTGAGAGCCACTAGTATATCACCCAAATACATGCAGCTGACGTGGAAAGCTTTGGGTTTTGGGGTCAACGTTTTTGAGTGTAGGTTGACACTGAAAGCTTAAATCATTGTGCTACATGAAATCACCCTGCATGGTTTAAGATGGGTATGGCATATTATCATGGAGCTAACTAAAATCCACATTAATGTGTAGTAACTTACCACCTTGCCAGTCTTTGCTTCTTACCATCTTCCTATTACCCCCAGAGCAGCTTCACTTCCCAATACTCACAACCTCATGGGCTCTGAGGTTCAAATAACAACACCTAGCAAGCATCTCCACCAAGGGAAAAGTGCCCAATATTGCTGTTATCAGCTGAACTCTAAAAAGATCTCATTGCAGGCCAGACCCTGCTCTGCTAGGTGCTGTATGATTACAGGGCAAAAAAGGCTGTGTCCCAAAGAGCTTACAGTTGAGGTGGGAGACAGGAGACAGATGAAAATAGACACAATGTGGGTGAGTATGAGGAAACGACGAGAGGGCAAAGATCCATTCTTAGACTAGCATTGGGAATTAAAATACCACTGCAGAATGTGGTTGGCTGTGAATATAAGAATACCCTGGGGCTGATAAAAAGAACAAAGAACTAAAAATTAAATTAGTGAGCAGTGTGGGCTGAGGACTGGATGTTTTCATGAATCTGCAGATTTCCCACTGGAGCATGGTGAGAACAAAACATAACTTAGTTCACTGAATCAAGCTTCAGTTGGAGCTTCTCTAAGCCCAGAGCAGGACTCAGGTGGAAAAAGATTCTGCCTGGCAAAGTCAATCTCAGGGAATTGCATGTTAGGGAAGGTGGGAGAAGACCTTGTGAGCATCTGTTCAGTGCTGCAATTCAGAAGGGACAGCGTTCCGTAAGACATTTTTATCATATTTTGGGGTACAAATTTACAGGTTTAAAAAAGGTCAAAACTCATAAAATAATGTAATTCCTTCTTACTAATTTGCACTGCCACACACTCATGTGCCATGGCCTATTGATGGAAGTAATTGTTCTCTGAGAGAGGAGCGAGATGCATGCAGAGTCCTGCAGCCTGCAGAGTCCTACCTTCTGTTAGTGACTCTTCTTGCAGCACATGGGTTACATCAAGTCAGATTCAGAGGGTAAAGGCAGGAGGGATGCTAAGAAAGAGGCCATATATGCTGGTGCATGTATGGAAGAACTGTAAAGAGCAGTGTACAGAGCATCCAGGAACAGAGTACATTCTGTGTGCTGCTTGCTGCCCAGCCAAACAAGAGTGCTGGTGCTTATTAGGAGCATAGTCAGAACATACTGAGAAGGCACTTGACTCTGACTAGGCTCCCAGGTCTGCCTGCTCTCCAGAGAGTGTCTACTGTGTCTAAGCCGTGGCTGGTGGCCACATGAGTCTGGTCCAAAAAGCAGCTTTGGAGCTGCCCGCAGCTCATCATGCAGTGAGTGACAGAACAAGGGGTAACGGCTCTAAACTGGAAGAGGGTAGGTCTAGATTAGATATTAGGAAGAAATTCTTTCCTGTGAGGGTGGTCAGCCACTGGAACAGGTTGCCCAGAGAAGCTGTGGCTGCCCCCTCCCTGGAAGTGTTTAAGGCCAGGTTGGATGAGGTTTGAGCAACCTGGTCTAGTGGAAGGTGTCCCTGCTGATGGCAGGGGGGTTGGAACTGGATGATCTTTGAGGTCATTTCCAACCCAAACCAGTCTATGATTCTGTGATATATCTGGTGTGGTCAGACATGTGATTTGGGCAGGCCTAGAGATGTGCTAGCACACTTACTCACTGTTCTGGTAGAAAGGAAAACCACATGACACCTTCTCTCTAAACACACACCTTTCTGTAGCCTTTCTCTGAAGATGTCTCCCAGCACTTCCACCTGTCTGAGGCCTCTGTGGACAGCTTCTGCAGCCTCTGGCCTTCACAAAGGGTCTTACTTGTGCAGACCTCCCTGTTGTTCTGCTTTTATTTTGTACGTAGCTATGCAGTCTGGAAAATGCATCTGTTCCCAGGGCTGTTCATCACCAGAGCCATTCACATATTCCTCTGAGTAAACAGACTGTTGACAGTTTGGCCTTCCAGGAATACTGAACAATAATATGTTGCTTCTGCATAACAACTGTAAAGCACTTTGTAAGCATTACCGAATTAGGCCTTGCAGCTGCCTGTTTCCCTTTAGTTGTTATTAGCCTCAAGTGATGAAGGAGGCTCAGAGCTGTTCAGTAATTTAGCTCGAGGTCATGTAGGAAGGGTGAACTATGGCTCCTGATCAAACCTGTGATTGCTGAGGATCAGACCGAGAAGCAGTGCCAGGCTGCATTCCAACCAATTACTTGACGTGGCTCTGACAGCTCTCCTTTTTGATGTGGGAGAGTAAAGTCATCCAGATGCAGTCCCGCATCCTTCCTTGCCATTTTACATCTTCACGATGACCCAAAATCAAGCCAAGACAACAACCTAAGTACACACAACTCACATGCTGTCTCATTAAGTTTGTCTAAAGTGACTGTGTCCATTTCTAACAGAGACTACCATTATGGTCAAGGTAGATCAACTGTCCCTTGCTAACATTTGACAACTCTTCTATCCAAATTTCTTGTGCAGCTTGCCAAAGATCCAGCTGGAAGTAAGAATGAATTTATTCACTTTCTGCTTTTAGTTTTGGAAGTGTCAAACAGCTATCAGTGTTTGAAGAAGCTTTACTTCTGAATAGTCCTGTCAAAAAGATTAACAATGCTCTCATTTATTCCCTATTTGCACTATGGATTTGCAGAATAGAAGACCTCTGGAGTCTCTTCAATTTTATTCTAAATAAAACCCAGAGATAACTCTTTTGTAAAATTGGAATTCAAGTAGATGGTCCATTTCTCCTTGCTGGGTACAAAACTGCATATTGTAACAAAATGCCCTTTTCATTCTGTTTCTTGCTTTCCCTGTTGAATCTCCATCCAAAAAAAGAAACCAGACAGCACCTAAAACTTTACTGTTTTCCACCCCTGCCTGATAAGCTCATACCAGTTCTGGCAATTTCAAAGGTGAGTTCACCTCAAAAAAATCTTAAAACAGTGCTTTTCACACGAGTGTGGCCAAGTTTAAAACAGAAGTGCAAGGAATAAATAGAAATGACACTGTGCTAAGTGGATGCAGGTCTTAGAAGTCAAACCAAGGATGGTTAAGTAGGTAAATCTACATGCTCAAGGGACAGAAAAAAAACCCAAAACAAGCCAGCTTACGTTGTGGGAACACAGTTAAGCACAGATGAATCACAGAAATGTTGCAAAAGACCCTCTACCAGGTAAGTTGCCATCAGAGTCCATCTGCAGATTCTTGGGTTGTCCCAGTTGTGGCATTTTTCTGAAGTAAGAGGCTTAACCCAGTGTTTCTTGCCTCCTAAGTGGAGCAGGCTGAGCACACTCAGTTACTGGGGCTCAGCAGATAGGTGTAACCTCTCAAGTCACCTCAACTGGATGTGTTTACCTATAGGCATGTGTTACTCACTTCAACATAAATCTTTTGGGCGTTTCTATACAGGGGATGAAAAAGGAGCTGAGTGCTGGGACTATGTTAGCCTGTCCCTGTCTAGGAAGCTCTGAGAGCTCTTTTGAGAGAAGGACTTGGGACACACTTGCAGGAGGAAATTTTATATGTAAAGCTGCATGCATGAACTTGGAGGAGTTTATAAAAGATAACTTTATAATCAGTGCCATCTGCATGCACCTACCATGTTCATGGAAGAGGCTCCCACTCCTGAAGTGAACATGAGACTAAGATATACATATAAGGTTAGATGTGAATCCCTGCCCATGGCAGCAAGGCCTGAAATTTTCAGAACAGACAAGCCTTGAGTAGCTTGATCTAACAGGTTGAAGAAATGAGCACCCAAGTATGTAAAGAAATTTCTTTGCTTGCTGGGGAATAGTGGGACAGTTGCTTCAAACTCATATTTAAGGCAATCATTTATTTTTAAAGTAAAAGATACTGAAATCTTCAAAATGTAACATCAAATAGCCAACAGAAAAATAACCACATTGAGATTCTGAGACATAATTCTAAAGGTCATTTAGGGTCATTACTGCTAAGTTTCTATCAATGTACGTACTCTGAAAGAAAAAGTGATCAAAGGCAGGGCATGCAAATAAGTTAAGAGAAGTTGTCTTGGGTGTGAACTGGAAAGATTATGGCAGGGGACAACCCTCTGCCTAATTGCATGTTGCCATCCCACTGCAAATGCAAGCTTACTCTGTGCTACTTTGGCCAGGAGGGGAGAAATTTGCACCTTCCCTCTCCCATTCTGAACTGCAATCTGTAGGGGAACATTTTGAGAGTGAGAGTTTTGAAGACTGGGAAGAAAGCCGATTATTCTGCTCTGTCTCTGGGTGACCCTCCTGGGACAAGGAAAGTTTCAGAGCAAGGACCAGTCTTGAATTCCTGCAGCTGCAAAGCAGCAAAATTATCTCCTGTACTCAGGCCCACAGGGTGCTTCAGGTGCAGGCAGGATGAAGGTTAGGTTCCGAGCAAGGAATAGGCTGGTTCTGCTCATTTCAGAGTTTAACATGGAGCCCCAGACCCAGCTGTGACTGCATCTGTAATCTTTTGCTGCCACTTTTCTTTTCAAACCTGGCTCATTATAAATAAAATAAAACTAATGCATTGTTGAGTTTTGGAGGCAATTGGTTGTTATTTGGCTGGGAAAAGAAATTGCCACTTACTGTTTACCTTAACTAAAGTCCAGGAAACAATCCGCCCATCCGAGGAGACAGAGAAGAAGTTCAAATTGTTTTCCATGTCATCCTTCTGCCATTTGACCTTAAAACAAGAAGACAGTCCCAGTCAGCACAGGACACTCAGCATCAGCAGGGCAGAGTCCCATGCCCTCAGCAGGTTTTCTGAAATCCTTCCTAAAGAGCAGTTGGTTTCCACCCCAGAGGCTTGCTGGTGCAGAGCATGCAAGAACACCTTTACCTCCACCGGCAGTTTCAGAAGTGCCCCCAGCACTCCTGTCACTCACATCTCTGTAGGGATGCTCCAGAGAGGGGGCAAAGCCCCACACCTGGAGACTCTGCACCTACCCATGGCCATCTTACCTGGCAGCGACAGGAGCATTGCCATCAAAGATGGGCCTTGTGAGCTGTCTGAGCTATGCAGTGCTCTGCACTACTGCACACCACCATCCCAGAGATCCCTAAGACATCTCCAAACAACACCAGCTGTGCCACAGAAAGGTCCCCAAGACACCCAAGTACATCACTGACCCTGCACAAACTAACCTCTTCCCGTTTGGCTAATTACTCCGAGTGCAGTGCCATATGGATATCCTTCAGCCAGACAACCTCACACCAGCTTTCTGTTCCTATGTGGGGTGCAGACGATTCCTTGCAGGCATCATGTGACATGGGTCCTTGGGCCACTTCTTTTTCAGGGAGATGAAAACGTCTCTATTAAAATTGAAATCCTCCCTACACCTTCAGAGCATCTGCCTGCCTGGTAAGGAGATCTGCCTTTTGACTGTGACAGCTCAGCAGGAGAGATTAGAACTCAGATAAATGGCTTACAGTTTAGAAGAGACATTTCAGTTAGACCAAAAGCATTAAGAATGCTCAGTTTTCAGATCTGGGAATTCAATCAGACTGAAGGGAAAAGGATGACTTGTCACTGGGCCTGTCAGCACACACTCCTGTGGGCATCTGTCAGTTCAGGATGGGGACAAGCACTTCAGCAGGTTCTACTGAGGTTTTCAAAGGTGTTTCTGTTCCTGTCCAAGCAGTGCAGCAGATACATTTCCCTAAACATAATCCCATAAACATGATAAATGGGCATGATTATCCTAGAACTTATCAAATACTCTATCTATGACCAGCTATTTAACTAGTGCCTATTCCAGAAAACAAGCAGCCTTCTCAATACTTTAATTACACAGATTGGGTATTCTGATGATACTTCCTTGGGAAAAACAGCATTAATTCTGTTTTGTAAACTTGTTTATAGCATGGAGTTCTGTGGAGCACAAAAATTCAGCAAGAGACTCAGCAAAGAGTAATTAATCCTCTAGTGAACAGGTTTCCTACCTAGAACACACTATTAGAGGAAGGAAAAATAAAACATAAAAGGAATCTATCTGAGAATACACCAAAATGCCAGGTTCATGTCCATAACATATGACTGAAGAGTCTCAAGAGGCATATACCTTTGAACATTCTTGCACAGGAGAAATCATAAGTCTCCAAGTTGAACCACTTGCGCTATCTGGTATTAAAGGAATGGCACAATTCAATATGGTCTGGAATAAAATGGCTAATGATAAAAAGACAGCTTCAATGGCACATACGGAGAACAGTGATTTCCAAGGTTGGCCACCATGAACTAAGTGTGCTGGGTATATCTATTCCAGGAATATCTCCCAGGGATCATGAGCTACTGCTGACAATGACGGTCACCAGCAGCTCCTTCAGATGAAAGGGTTGGTGTAGTGAGGAGTTTTCATTCAAAGGGAGAAATGCAGAGTTCAGGGGAACTGGTTACAAGCACATGCCCAACATGTCTCATAATGGGCACAGACAAGCGTCATGTTTCAAATCAGAGCTTTTTAAAACGCCACTCTCAAATTGTCTGACAATAAGATGTTTTCATGTGTGTGTCCAACACAGCTCTCCTCTAACTTATGTTCTTCCTCTTCCATTTACTTTCTCAAATATATGGGAAAAACAGTCACACTTCTCAGACTGTCTCTAAGGCAAACTGACTTTGCTCGAGGTAGGAAAACTACTTCTCAGGACAGTATCTCCTGCAAAAACTCTCTGCAAAGGTTTTTCCATTTAAACCTGAAAGCAGCTAGCACAAGTGGCTCTGAAATCCTCTACTGGGACAGGACTATACTGCAAGAAAAGGGATTCTCCAGTACCTGAAATCTGGAGCCCAAACCCCGCAATGCCCTGAGCTGCACAGAGAAGACAAATGCAGGTGACACGTACCTGTACTGCAGTCAGTGTGAGTCTGAGCCATCCTAAAGTCTAGAGCCACCATCCAGGTTGCTTACACAATGCACATGTTTGGATCAGAGCTGGTCCAGACCCTTTCTGTAGGGATAGTCCCACCTTACCCCCTGTCAGCATGTATGTCCGGGTGCTCATTAGAGAGCTCTGCTCAAACTGTGCAGGGGCAGCTGCAGCTGAGTTCCCAGCTGCACAGTGTAGGCATCTTGCACTCAAGCTAGAGCCAAGTGACAGCCCATCACACCAACAGAAAATACACAGACGAAGGCTCAGTGGCTGGAGTCCATCCTGATCATGCAGACACAACTCCTGAGTCCTCATGTCTATGCTAACACAGTGTGTTGCAGGAACCTCATGTGGAGGTCACCGACAACATAAGCATGATTATGAGCTTATTGGTTTTTTTCCCAAGCCAATTCCTTCCAGCATTCCACAAGCAAAGAGTTTTTCCCCAGGGTTTGCCCACTCCAAATACCCTCTCCCTCATGGAGATCTATTCAAGTTTTCTACTATCAGTAGTCAGTTAGGTGTCACAACTACTTCCCTTCATCTGTTACACAGATAGGTGGAATCATCAGCCTCAAAAAGCAAGTAGGCTGATTTAGAATCATAGAATGGTTTGGGTTGGAAGGGACCCCTAAAGCTTATCTAGTCCAGCCCCCCTCCCATAAGCATGACAACATAAGCATGATTATGAGCTTATTGGTTTTTTTCCCAAGCCAATTCCTTCCAGCATTCCACAAGCAAAGAGTTTTTCCCCAGGGTTTGCCCACTCCAAATACCCTCTCCCTCATGGAGATCTATTCAAGTTTTCTACTATCAGTAGTCAGTTAGGTGTCACAACTACTTCCCTTCATCTGTTACACAGATAGGTGGAATCATCAGCCTCAAAAAGCAAGTAGGCTGATTTAGAATCATAGAATGGTTTGGGTTGGAAGGGACCCCTAAAGCTTATCTAGTCCAGCCCCCCTGCCATAAGCATGGACACCTTCCACTAGACCAGGTTGCTCAAAGCCTCATCCAACCTGGCCTTAAACACTTCCAGGGAGGAGCAGCCACAGCTTCTCTGGGCAACCTGTGCCAGTGTCTGACCACCCTCACAGGAAATAATTTCTTCCTAATATCTGATTTAAATCTCCCCTCTTCCAGTTTAGAGCCATTACCCCTTGTTCTGTCACTCCCTGCCCTTGTAAAAAGTCCCTCCCTAGCCTTCCTATAGGTCCTTCAGGTATTGGAAGGCCACTATATGGTCTCCCTGCAGCCTTATCTTCTCCAGGCTGAACAGCTCCAACTCTCTCAGCTTTTCCTCATAGTAGAGGTGTTCCATCTGTCTGATCATTTTTGTGTCCCTCCTCTGGACCTGCTCCAACACGTCTGTGTCTTTCCTGTGCTGAGGACTACAGAGCTGAACACAGTTCTCCAGGTTGGGTCTCACCAGAACAGAATAGAGGGGCAGAATCACCTCCCTCAACCTGCTGGCCACGCTTCTCTTGATGCAGCCCAGGATATGGTTGCCTTCTGGGCTGCAAGCTGCACTGCTGGCTCTTGTCCAGTTTTTCATCCACTAGTACCCCCAAGTCCTTCTCAGCAGGGCTGCTCCAAATCCCTTCATCCCCCAGCCTGTATTGATACCAGGGATTGCCCCAACCCATGTGCAAGACCTTGTGCTTGGCCTTGTTGACCCTCATGAGGTTCACACAGGCCCACTTCTCAAGCTCGTCCACGTCCCTCTGGATTTGCTTGGGGTACTCTTAGTTAGGTACATACTGTAGACAGCTTGAACACAGTCCCTCAAGGGCATCAGGATCTGCCCTCAGATGACTGTCAGCAGCTCTCAGTGACGTTAGCATGAATTTCAGAAATTGACACTTAATACTTTCAATTTTCCTTTAACACCTCTGACACCTTAATAGTGTTTGTGATCTTTTTTCTCCTGATCTCTGAATCCCATGTATGCTTATTACAGCAATTAGCCTTCATGATACTGCAATCAAATTGGGCATCTGCTCAGAACTGGCCTTTTCTCTGCTCCCAGAGGCTCATGAACATGGCACAACCTCCTGTCATTAGCAGTATCCGTGCTGTGCGGGGTGGGGCATTTGATGAGAGAACGAGGCAATTGTGTGCATAGTGGCAAGAAGTTAATTCTTTCCTGAAGCATGTGATAATCAACCCAGGATTTTGGCTGCATGAGAGGATTTACAGAAAAAGTTCAGTTATGATGCTGTAAGATTAAAGAACCACATGAGAAAGGAAAGTGTGTGTAAACAGCAGGAAGGAGACAAGTAAACACAGAGCAGCAAGTCATTTGCTGTGCCTGATTGTGATGGGACCTGTAGTAAAATCAAGAATTCACTGATATTTTTTTCAGTGTGATCTTTAACCTGACTATTTTTGCAGTGCAAAATTAGTTTGTGAAACTCACTCCTATTAGAAGAGCCTACCCCTTTTTAATTTTTATTTCTTAAAGCCTGTTTATTTATAAAGAAGTTGAAACTATTCAAACCCCTATTTGTTCTTAGAAAAATAAAGATTAAAACCTGCATGTTCACTGCTATGTACAGCAGGTTAGCAGGGCAATAATCCATTCATTCTTAGCAAGGGAATACTATCATTTTTGTCTATGGCAGCTGGTAATGGCTCCTGTCCAGCAGTAGATTAGACCATTTATCCAACCTGATTTGAAAATTCCCATGTTTCTGATGTCATTCCTACAAAAGAAATGCTCCATCAGTTTTCATGGCACGGAGGCTATTAGTCACTTGCACTGACAAAATACAATTGGTCAAAATCATCCCAGCCATGAGGCTGACTCGA